CTCTGACATCAGGATCCCCTTTCTGTGGAAACCAAAGGTCAAGGCTGTGGAGAAACAGCTCAGGGTCACAGGTAGACTGCCAGTTACGTGAATTCCAAGGGCAAACTGAGGCCTCCAGGTAGGGGTCTAAGGTGAGGGGTGGGCCCAGGGATGGGCAGCACTGAGGGTGGTGGGTGACCGTCCTGCCTAGAAACGCCTCTGGGTGTGGAAGGGACAGAGCCCCATCCTGAGGGAGGGATCAGGTACTCAGTGGGGAGGTCCTTAGTGTCCCACTGACACAGAGTTTAGGAAAGATGGAGCTTTAATCTGAGGAGCAGCTGAGCCTCAGGTATGGGGGTGCTGGGCCCAGAGTCTAATCTGGAAGGTAGGTTCATCTCCCAGACAGGAGGGCCTGGTACTGGAGGCCTCGGAGGAGGACACAGGCTTAAGGGGCCCACCCTAAAGTCGGTGCCTCACCTAATGGAATTGACGGAGGGAGAAGGCATCTCTAGGTCCCAGGAGAGAGAGCTGATGACAAAAGCCCTACCTGGCTGGGGTGGAAGGAGGTAGAGAGGGGACGGGCTGTATTTAACACCTGAAGAGCAGCCCTGCCTCTGCACCACAGTGCTTGGGGCATCTCTCTAACCAGGGCCTGCCTTGTCATTGTCTTTTCCTGGGAAAAAGGTCATGGCAGAGAAGTTCAGAAGCCCTCTTGCTTCTGCCACTAGGTGTGTGGTTTTTTTGTTTTTTAACTTAGCATTGATGTCCAATACAACTTTCTGGGGAAACTTTCTGTGGAAATGTTCTATATCTTGCCATCCAACATGGTAGCTGTGAGCCACATGTGGCTAGTGAGCCCCTGAAATGTGTCTAGGGCAACTGAGGAACTGAATTTTAAATTTTATTTAATCAATTTCCATTTCAACAGCCACATATAGCTCATGGTTACAGCATTGGACAGCACAGCTTTAGAGAGTACAAAGTACTTCCATGATCTCTGTTGAGACTCACACAACTCTTTGAGGCAGGAATTGTCAGACCCATTTTATGGATGAGACAGCTGAGGCACTGGTTGAGGCGTCTCAGTGAGATGAGACGCGCCCAAGGTCACGCAGCTGGGATGTGGCTGAGCGGGGTAGGGGTCAAACCAAATCTTTCTGACTCCCGACCCCATGTTCTTTTTGCTACCAAGTCTCTGGTCGCAAGGGCTCTGAGTGGATGGTAGGAGCAGCCTACACGGTGGGAGCTGTTTCCAGACTCTCCCCCAGCCATGCCCATTCTGCATTTGGTCTCCTCCCAAAGGCAGGGGTTTTGTTTGGAAAATCTGAGCAAACCTCTGCTTGACTGTTTTGGAGCAGAGTGAAGGTAGAAGGGGCACAGCCAGGAGTGGGGGGCTGGGGAGAACGATGCCTTCTATTTCTTGTTTCAAAGTAATTTCGGGAGTTTTCTTTTTATTCCCCTGTCTTTTGGCATACGGCTACCTCCACAGAGCTGAACTCCCAAAGCTGAAACTTTCCACATGTCCAATCCTCAGTGAGAAAGAGAGTGCCAGGGGAGTGTGGAGAAGCCAGAGTTCAGGTGGAGCCCAAATTATGAATGGCTAAAGGCTGGCATTGGCGAACGGGCACAGGGAGGCTGGAAGCAGCATCACCTTCGGGCTCTGAGGATGCCAGCCCCTGACAGGGAGGGGCTGGGTGTGTCCTCGATGGCTAAACACGGACCTCATGGTATCATGCTTGATAACCTCTCACCAATCATCAATCACGGAAGACTCATTAAAGCCATATACCCCATCCTGTGTTGATTTCTCAAGTATAAGGCATGACCTCTGCCCTTGTGGGAAAATGGGAGGAATGAGGCTCCAAGAGCAAAACATGAAGACTGCCCAGCCTGCCATGGTTGGGAATTTTCTCTCTTAAAATTCCCACAGCACTGCATGAAATTGCGTCTCCGGGGTGCTCGGCATTTCCGTCCTTGCTTTATACAATAGCCCCTGCCGTGGGGCGATTCTGTGATGGCTGATCCCCTTTCTGATACTTCAGTTTCCTTTAAATGAAAGGCACATGACCCCTATCGCCCCCTTCCTTCCCAAAGGGTTCCAAACTTTTGGATTTCACGCACCAGTAAATATCCCCAAACATCTTAGGTACCAGAGTACAATAGCCAGGTTTTCCTTTTGCTAAGTGAGGATATTAGAAAAACAAACTACCGTTTGCCATCACCTTTAATTTTAAAAGAACATTTTAACACCAAAAAAGTAATACAATAATACTCTCAAAATAAAAAACACTTTTTAAGTGGGAAAAAATAGCATCACAAAAACACAGAAAACTGTTTTTATTTTTCTTGTTTCACGGCAGACCAGTAGACACTGTCCTAAGAATGGCGCCTTTCATAGATAGGCACTTGGAGCCACCATCTGGGGCCATTTGCGGGGTGGCTTTTGGGGGAGTGGAGAAAGAGGAGAGGAGTTTATGCTCCAATCCCATAATGCAGAGGCTTGGCTCAGAACAAAACGCTTGAACACTGTGGTGAGGAAATCACTTCCTGCTGAGACTTATGGAGACAACTCAGAGGAAGATACAAATGAAGTTGGTGAGAGCTGGCTCTGAAAACCCAGCACTTGGAGGACCTTTCTTAGCAGATCTGGCCTCTGTGCAGTATCATAAACGATTGGTCCAGAAAGGTTATCTTCCCAAACGGGTTTATTTCTGCCAACAAGTCTGGCTGGTTTGAAAGCCTTTTAGAACTTTTATCAACCACAATATTACATGCATGTGTAAATGCCAATTTTATAGTTTCCCCCCAAACACCCACTTTCTGTGAGCTGTTCATCATACCAACCAAAGTCTGCCAACCCCTGTCCTCATTGAGGACCTAAGTGCCTGGGGGCAAGGGGCTTCCATGATTCTGAGAACCCTCCCGCCTGGCAGAGCTTCCTCCACCCAGGGACCAGCCTTGTTGTCTTTGTACCCCCCGACACCCAGTCTGACCGAGAGAGGATGCTCACTAAATGTTTGCGGATGTATTGGCGAATAAGGCAGAACCAGAAGTAAGCGAGTCTCAGGAAGACATGGGCTCGGCTTGCAAGATTTGGGGCCTTGGGTTTCTAGACAGAGAAAGATCTTACTGTTGAAGTCAAGGATGGGCCATCCTTGGGGCCCAGGAGGGGAAGGACAGAAGCTAAATTAGTTTTGAAGGCTGTCTTAAGGGCAGGGACCACCCACGCAGAGGTAGAAGAGACACGGAGACTGGGAGGGGCTGTGTGACCTTCCCTTCACCCACGCCAGGCTTTGCTGGCAGAGGCATGTGGATCTGAGGGGCTAGGAGTGATGTAGCATCTGTGATCCACACGGGAAACCACTCAGGCCCTCCCTTTCTACTCCCTCCCTAAAATAAACCAGGGCTGACACCTGTCCTGGGCAAACCTGCTTCCCCAGTGTTCGCTGGCCCTGGTTTGGCTACAGGGCTGGCCCCAGCAGACCGTGTCTCTGGTGGTGGTGGTGACCGTGGCCTGGCGTGTGGTCAGGTCGGGGCTGACTCTGCTTGGGCAGGTGGAGTGGCAGCCAGGTGATAGGCCAAAATCCTGCCAAGGTGGCAGTTTGTGTTTGGGGAAGTGCTCAGGTTTACAATTCTCTTACACAGTCTGCTTACCTGGAGGCCTGGGGCTGCCAGGAAGGGATGCCCAAGCACTGAGGAAAATGCTCTAGCCTCAGGATCTAGCTCATGGTTGGAATCCTGCAGCGAGACCTATGATTTCCCCACTCTCCCCTGAGTAGACAGGCTGCCCTTGTTTGACACGATGCCCAATCTACTCATCCTTGCTGTCTCTGGTCAGCATCACCACCTCCAGGAAGCCTTCCCTGATTTTCCCTTTCTTGCCTCAGCCTGGGTTAGAGGCTCTGGCCGACACTTATCACATGACCTATGTCCTGGCTTCCATGTGAAACAGGACACTCTTTGAGAGAGGGATCCTCTTTACCACAAGTCTAACACCTAGTGAGTGCTCGGTTAATGTTCACTGAATGAATGCAGGAGCTGGTAAACATCCTCTCTCAATCTAAGATTGACTGTATGGGCTTTGGAGAGAGATGGGTTTGAGGGTCTGTGGTCTCCACCACCAGAGCCAACCTGGGACGTGCAGCTTCCCAGGCCAAGGGTGCATTCGGTGGCTGACTTGAAGCCAACAGATCCCTTTTGTTTCATCATCACCTCCAGGCCAAGGTTTAGAGATGGTTCAGCCCTGCTGGGAGGCGGTGGGGTGGAAAGAGCTTGGGCTTTTCCATCAAACAGACCTGGACTGGATCCTCGATCCACCATTGCCTAGCTGGGTGACCTCAGGCACATCTTTTAACCTCTCCGAGCTTCAGAGTCATCATTTGTAAAATGAGAATCATAATCACACTTGCTGTATAGGGTTGTTTTAAGCTTAAATGAGACAGTGTGTGCAGAGCCCAGTTCCTCGCATGTTGTAGCGCTGAACAGATAGTAGCTGCCGTAATAAAAATAATATTGATTGTGTCGTTGTTAGGCATAGGCTAGGAGTTAAGGAGGCAAAGAAGTGTGAGGAGCAGCCGCTGCACTTGAGGGCGCTGACCATATTAGTTAGGGAGTTGAGACACATACATAACAAGCCCATCACACTGATGGTGGCCTATAGGGCCTGAGTGCTGTGCAAGGTGAACACTCGTCCTAGCTGTTCGGAGGAGGGAGCAGTTGCTGGAGGCAGGTCATCAGCGATGGGGAGGGGGCCTGGAGGGAACAGTAGCACTTAGGTAAGTGGAGAGGAAAGGGAAACAGCTCCAGGGAGGGGAAGCAGCACACACAAAGGCAGAGAGAAGAGGAAGCCACGCCAGCAGGCCAGGTCCCCAGATGGACAGACAACAAAAAGGGAGCACTTCAGTATATGTACAACCCAATGTTGGGTGTTCTGCCGGGGGTGCTGGTGTGACGGGTCACCCAGTCTTTGATGGGTTGTCCGACGCTGACAGGCGACCCTCACCCTCTCCCTATCTCTCCAGCTGTGTGCCAGCCGCCCTGCCAGAACAGGGGCTCCTGCAGCCGGCCCCAGCTCTGCGTGTGCCGCTCCGGCTTCCGCGGAGCCCGCTGTGAAGAGGTCATTCCTGAGGAGGAATTCGACCCCCAGAACTCCAGGCCGGCACCCCGACGCTCAGCCCAGGGGTCTCCCAACCTGCGCAGGAGCAGTGCGGCCAGAGAAAGCACCACGGCCAGAGCGCGGCCGCCAGCACCACAGCCGCCGCTGGCCAGGTGAGTCCCCTCCTCAGCGGGGCCTCCGGTCTGGGGGCGCAGCCTCTCTGGAGGGGCTTCTTCCTTCGGCCCGTTTGGTGAAGACCCTGGTGGAGAAGGCCGGAGAGTCCTCCTTTCCCTTCTGCTCCACCAGAGGGGCGGCGAGCAGGGCAGCAGGTACGGGGGTGGCACAGGCTCTGGCAGGGTGCCCAGGGGAGGTGGGAGGGGAAATCTTTACTCTCCAGGCCCCAGGGAGAGAGCTGAAGAGGGCACATCCCTGGGACCAGGCTCTCTTGTTTCGAATCCTGGTGTTGCCACTTCCTAGCTGGGTGGCCTTGGGCAAGTTACTTCTCTCTCTGATCCCTCATCAGTAAGTTGGGGAAAATGATGACAGTCATAGTCATGGTGTTGTAAGGGTTAAGTTAGTGACCATGAGGAAAAGGCTTAGAGCAGTGCCTGGCACACAGTAAACTCTATAAATGTTTGTCTCCGCCTCCCGCTTCTCTGCCTATGGTCCCTGTGATGCAGGAAGGGCTCCTCTACCAGAAAAAGCCCCTTCAGTTCAGTCACCACCAGTGCTAACCTGTCTCCTCGGAAGGGCAGCTGGAGCACGTAGGGGAAGCGAGAAGATTAAAAAGTGGGAAGGGGTGTGTTCATGGGCAGGATTCCCTGGGCTGCTTGCCAGCCAACCTGGCTAGACATTTTCTAGCTCAGCTCAGGAAATCTGAACTTTGTAAACGGGTCCATTTCTGGGGGCTGTGTTTTCCTTGTGGTTTTTCAGGTTACTTTTTCCATTCGCTTCCTACTTAGGAACTTCTTTCTGAAATGTTTGAACCTTGTCTTGCTGAACTCAGCGAAAAAAGGATTTGCCCTCCCAGAGGAAGCTGGGAGAATCAGGGAGAAGAGGCTGACCTCGAGGCCAGGTCCCCAGTGGGGAAAGCTCAGGAGAGAAAGGAAAGGAGCTCAAGGTTGTCCAGCAACTCTGAAGCGGTAGGGGCAATGGAGGCCAGGCCAGACCAGGGTCTCAGTAAGGGGGTTTCCAGGGCCCTGGCCACCCAAACAAGCAGGTGGTTTCCGAGAGCAGCCAGGAGCAGAAACAACAGAAGGATGAACTTGGGTCAAGGCCTAGGGAGCCCCAAAGTTAAAACCAGAAGAGCCAAACTCTTTCACCAAGGCCTTAGGATGCTGGGGCAGAGATGGGGGGCAGAGCTAAGGGCCAGATGGACAATGCAGGGTGAACTGCCTGGGATTGGCTGTGACCAGTTGGGCAGGGCCTGAGCCCTGTTCCCATTGGTTCCGGCTCTGGGTCCAAGGTGGGTGGGCCTGGTGTGAAGGCACTTGGAGGAGCCCCAGAGGTGGCAGCTCCAGGGCCAGCCCCGGGGCAGGGTGGGAGCAGAGTCCTTCCAGCCTGGCTTTCCCCCTGCAAGCTCTTTTTTGGCTTGTGGGATTCATTCATTTTATAATGCATTTATCCCCTGTGTGCGTGCACAAGTGAGTGTTGGGGGTGGTTGCTTGGCAGGTCATTCTGTTCCTTGTACCCTTGAGTCAGAAGGCTTTTGACATCCCCTGCCCCATCTTCCCAGCCTATCCCGCTTCTATTTTTCAAGGCCCAGTCCCACTTCCTCCAAAAAGCACCTACTCCCTCATATCCACCAGGCTCTGACCCCCTGCAGCGCACACGTGGCACACACATCGCTGTGAGTCTGCACCCTGAGTCTGCAATCAGACGGTGTGGCCTGCGCCCTGGAAGGCAGCGCCTGCGTCTCACACTGGATTTCCCCACAGTGCCTCCTGCAGTCCCAGCTTGCAGGAAGTGCTCAATCTGCATTGCTTTCTGTCGCTCGCTCCCAACCGAAGACTTACCTAACCAAGGGCCCATTTGGCCCCGAACCCTCACCCTGCCCTGGAACCAAGGGCACCACCCGCAGTGGTGTTCAGAGTGCGGGAGGATGGGAGGCTCCATGCTTCCCCAGTGTCACGCTTTTCACTCTGCCTCGGGACAGTCTGTGCATTTGCTCACTGGACCAGGAGCTCTGTGAGAGCAGGGACTACTGTGTCCTCCTCTTTCATGAACATGTCCCTGGCACCTAATACCACACCTGGTACCCTGTAGGTGCTCAGTCAACACAAGTTGAATGAAGAAATGGACGAGGCCCGATGCTGGGCGGGGAGGAGGCTGGGAGGGAAGGAGGACCAGCTCTGTGAGGCTTCGGTCCCCCCACGAAGGTGTGCGAGAGGCAGGGGAGGGTGAAGGCCTGGGCTGAGGTCTCCGGCCTACAGCAGGGCTGTCCTTTTTGAGCTTCACAGGCTCCCTGGCCAGGGGCTACTGCAATGTTTTTAATGAGCTGCAGCCTCCAGGCCAGCCCAGTCTCTCTCTCTCTCTCTCCATGTCTCTCTCTCTCTCTCTCTCTGTCTCTCTCTCTGCCTTGGCGTGTCAATGCCATGAAATCTGGGAAAGTCCGAGCGGCCCACTGTTGGCCCAGCTGTGTTTTGCTTTGGGAGGCCAAATCCCACTTGCCTGGTGGTGTCAGACATTTCCTGTGAACTTGGCCAGCTTTCCCAAGCAGCCGCTGGACTCTCTCCTGATGGCAACTTGGACGAGCCCTTGGTGTCCAGATAAGGGAGTGACATAAATGCAGAGGGCATTCTTGGTGGGGGGTGGGGGACGGTGCAAAATGTCCAGGGAGGAGAGACACTGCCGGGACTGGTGATGGCCAGAGGCCACCTTCAGGAGAGCACTAGACAGAGGCCAAGAGCCTTGTGTCTCAGGAGGAAGACGAGAGGGAGGGGTCAGGAGAGTCTGGGGCAGCAGGCAGCACGCCCTGCAGAGAGCCAGACGTGGATTGATGTTGTCCAGCTGCAGCCTGGACTGGTCGCGGGGGGCCTGCTGACTCCCTCCGAGCCCGGGGCTCAGGCTTCTTCCCCAGGCTGGGCAGAGAGCCTACCCCACCTGTGGAGCAAGACCTAGGCAGCTGGGAAGGGCCTTGAGAGATTGGGGGAGGAGGTGGTTACAGCAGTCGAGGACCAGCAGGCCTTGGAAAACAGTGCTTCACACCGTGCTTCTCAGACTGAAACAGGCACAGGTGAATCACCTGGGAACGGGTTAACACGCAGCTTCTGATGCGGCAGGTCTGGGGTGAGCATCTCTAACGTGGTCTCCGGTGATGCTGATGCTGCTGGCCCATGGACCACCCCTGGAGGAGTGAGGTTCTGAACCTGGGCTTTGGATTCAGGGAATCCTGGAGTCCAATTCTGGACTTACCAGCTGTGTGACATCAGGCAAAATAGCCTAACAGCTCTGAGTCAATAGTCTCCACCTGGTAGGATTGCAGAGAGGGTGAAATGAGACCATTTGAGCAGAACACCTAGTAGGGTGCCTGATATGGGTTAGTGCTCAGTACATGTTAGCCATCAGCAGGCTGGTTCTCTTTGCCATGAGGACTTGTGTGGCAAAAAGCAGACAGAAAACTGGGGTGTGTGTGTGTGTGTGTGTGTGCAGACCAGCTCTGGGGAGAAGTTAGAGCCCAGGCCCAGTCTCAGGGGTGGTGTGATCCAGCAGTAGCACCAATAGTGGCTTTTGGCTGGCTTGGGTATTCCACCAAGGCCGTCTCACCAGCCCTATGGGGGAGGGGGGGAGGGAGGTGTCACAACAATTTGCCGAATGGGAGGGACCTCCACTGAGTTTACTCCTTAGTCTGACCGGAGGACCTAGAGGTGGAGCCCTGGGGACATCCTCGGCAGGCTTGATCGGCGCTTGGACAACAAGGGGCCTGGAGGACAGTGTTGAGGTGGACAAGCGGGGCTGGCAGGGAGATGCTGGGAAGCTGTGGGCCCCGTGATCGTGGCTCTTAGTGGGCTGTTCCCTGAGAAGGCAGCTGGGGTCAGCCTTCCTTTTACTGTCCCCGTCGGTCTCTCCCTCTTCTTCTCGATCTCCTCCTCCCTGCACACCCCACAAATTTAGCTGCGTAAAGCAATGCACATGTATTATCCCACAGTTCTGTAGGTCAAACATCTGACACGGGGCTCACCAGGCTAAAGTCAAGATATCAGCAGGGCTGAGTTCCCGGAGGCTCTAGGGAGAATCTGTTTTCTTGATCATTCAGGTTGTTTGTTGGCAGAATTCACTTCCTTGCAGTTGTAGGACTGAGGGCCTCACTTCCTTGCTGGCTGTCACTTGAGGGCCATCACATCTAGAAGCCACCCACATTCCTTGGCTTGCGGCCACCTTCCTCTCTTCAAAGCCAGCAACAGAGGGTGAACTCTTCATGTTTTAACTCTGCCCTCTGTCTTCCTCTTCAGCGGAATCTCTCACTGACTCTTCTGCCTCCTTCCACTTTTAAGGGCCCCCTGATAACCCAGGACACTCTCCCCTATTTTAAGGTCAGCTAATTAGCAACTGTAATTCCACCTGCAGCCTTGATTTCCTTTTGCCATTTATATACATATTCAAAGGCATAATACCAGGGAACAAAGATCACGGGGGTCACCCACACACTGCAGCCCACGCCAGTTGGGACCCTCCATCTGCAGTGTAATAGCTCCTCTTATCAAGGGCTTGCCACAAGGACGGCCCTACATGAATGATCTGGCCCCCAAAACCTTTCTGACATCTCCAGCATCAGCTCTCACCACTCGCTCCCCTCATTCGCTCTGCTTCTGCCACACTGGCCAACTGGTTTTTCCTCAGATATGCTAGAGATGCTCCCACCTCAGGGCCTTTGTACTTGCTGTCCCCCCTCCCTGGAGTCCTGTGTTCCTTTCCTAGGGCTGCCATAGTGAATGACCACAAACAGGACGGCTTAAAACAACAGAAATGTATTCTCTCACAGTTCAGGAGGGCAGAGCCCAAAATTAAAGTGTTGGTAGGATTGCTCCTTTGGGAAACTCCGAGGGAGAATCTGTCCTATGCCTCTGCCCTAGCATTTGATGGCTCCCTGCAATCCTTGGTGTCCCTTGGCTTGTAGCTGCATCACCCTAATCTCTGCCTCTGTCGTCACATATTGTGTGTGTGTGTGTGTGTG